TACAGTTGTCAAGCGCTTCTCGGACTGAGCTAGATTTATTGCTGTTGTTGTTGTTGTTTTGTTTTTTGTTTTTTGTTGTTTTTTTGGCTTTCCTCGGCATAGTATAAAAAGGAAAAAATCAAAGCTCTTTCAGCTCTTTCATGATAATAAGAATGATGAAAGTAATTCAAGTACGCTGTTTCCGTTTCAGCTTTTTACCGCGACCCTAATGACCGGCAGTCGATTTAAAAAAAAAAAAATTAATACAAACTAAATTCCAAACCTAATGCTCCTAGCTCGATAAAGAACCGTCAAGCGATTGCACTTCTGGTTCTACAACGAAAAAATCGTGCTTCGTTTGCGGCCGGCATATTATATTGGAAGGTTGTTTTCATGGCACTTAGATATTTTTCGTCACATATGCACACTGCCGGTCACAGAACTCAAATGACTAAATGGCCGGCAGTCGAATTTTTTAAATTTTAAATTATTCAAACATGAGTTTCAAAAGGAATGAAAATATATTATCTCGAATATCTTCCCATTTTTATATCTTTTGGTTTGGTTGGGCTGCAAATATGTAACATTTTTCGATCATTTAGCGGGGAATGATTTGGGAATTCAATCAGTTCGGGAACTTCCCCGGCGTCGTCAGGGAATTTTTTTCGGCCCAGCATTAAAAAAAGAGGGAAAAGAATCTAGGAAGGTTTTAATTTGCGTACAACCACCGGAATAAAGTTTGGGTTGTTGTAGATTCATTCATTGCTTGAATATAATCAACAAATCTTGACTGCCGCCCGTTTAGGATTTAAAAAAAAATTTTCAGTCTTGGAAAAACTTTTTGAAAATGCTATGTGATAATTTTTAAATAATCGCAGTGAATTAAAAAAATAAATTCAAAAATTCAAACAAACTATTACACTTTTTGAGCCATCCCAACTTTGGTATTTTGCTATATGGTGATTATTAATAATTATTGTAATTGAAACTGACAATATGTTTTGGTTAGATCATCATGAACAAATCCATGATCAAACAAACTGTTATATTTTTGAACATGATCTGCTATTCTCATTTGAGGAATGCCATCTTCTCAGTGGATCCGGAAACAAGCGAATGAAAGAAACTGTTTTAAAAGTTTGGCCGAACTGCATGTCCTTTTGATTCTGGCTACTGAGCAAGAGAAAGAAGTTAGTTATAAGATTAAAACGCGACACTACTATTCATAACCAATACAATGACGACTCCCGACAGAAATGTTAATTCGTCACGAACTTCAATCCTAATTTTAAGCTAAACAAAAAAGGCTTTTTTGAATTGGTTTAGCCTAAAACACCTGTCTTAGTTTTCTTCAGTTATTCACCGACTAATTATTTCAAATTAAACCACGCAACACGCGCACTCCTAACTAGTTACCGCTAAATATTGTTATTATAAGATCCTAGATGCGCTTTATATGGAAAAAAAAACAAAAACCCATTGGGCAGCTTTTGTTTTGCAATGCCCTTGGCGCATAAGGCGGTCGATTCTCGAGAAATCAATTATTTTTTTCTTGCAAACTAGTTGCCATTGTGTGAGTGTTTGCGTTCATGCAATTTGCAATTTTCTTCGAAATCAGCAAGGAAGTCTTTCGAGAAGCGTCTACACACCCGACCTGCAGCTTCCTTCGCAGTACCCGGCGAACGTGGCAGGTTCAATATATTACTGATATCACCTATCTGCAAAGACTTTAAAATGTCGCTGAAGGTCCATCCCAATAGAGACGCGGTAATGTCTAATGGAACATCGCTCATATCGTCCGTCCTTTACCGTCTCGTATCGCCTTCGAGAAAGGAAGAGACATTGTTTAATTTTTATTTCGTTCTTAGCTTGCTTTGCCAAGTTTTCATTTGTTTTTCTGAAAGCCATTCTCATCGTCTGATGGCCGACATGACCCTCCTCAACATTGCCGGCGGGGCCGTGCTATATCTTTTACTAAAAGTGATCATCTGTGATAAAGATTTCGAGCAAAACAACCTCTGCAGATTTCCATACCAAGAAGGCACTGTGCAAAAATGGTTCAAAGAAAAGGTTATGAGGAAAACTCGTAAAACTGGAACAATTAATATGCTGAACTTACGGAAGAGGTCAGAGACTGCTAAATACACAAGGAATGGAAAAGTTTTCCTGCCTCTTGAAAAAGAGGCGGAAGTTTTTACGATATTGTACCATGGAACAAGTCATCATGAACATGCTAAGAGCATATTAAAGGGAATTCAATTTAAAGGGTCTACACCTGATGGAGACTTTAGTTGTGGAAGGGGATTTTATCTAACTAATCGTTTTGAAAGGGCCGTAGAGTATGCTTTCCCGAAACCGGCAGCAAAAGCGGCAGTGCTTGTTTTTAAGATTCCAAACGCTGTGCTTAAGAGGTTTCAAAGAACGTCCATAAATCTTGTGGGAGAAGAAAACAAGGGAAAATGGCAAAATGTGGTAGAAGCTATTACAAATGGGGAAACATTATCACCTTTTATCGAAGGACCGGACCATAATAATCATTTATCTTTTATCGAAGGTCCGGAAATAAAACGCAATCCCGGCGGGGAAAAAACTTCCGAACAGCTACCAAACAGCCACCAAATGTGCATACTTGATGCAGATATGGCAGAACAATTTAATGCGCATTTAGATTCCGTAGTTTTTTATAACACTTCCGGCACTAGAAAAAAGAAAAGAAAAGAAGAAAAAGCAAAGAAGAATTAGCAAGGAAGAAGATAAGAAAACCCGTAAGGCATGACGAGTACTGCGCCTTTGTAAAGGAACTCTTGAACTTGCCCAGTTTCTTTCTTTTTTCTTTCCCCACGTATTCGCGTTGAACATTGCAAGGTTGACTAAAGCCGAGAAGATTTCAACATTGAAGACCACTAACAAGACGTCTAGGTTTTGGCTTCCGTTTGTCAAAACTAAATACTAACTTAGACTGTTGGAAATTTGATTGACAGAAGTCGAAATACCAGGCATTTTGAATTATAACCAGGTGTCTGTGTTGCCTGATTGTGAAAATGGTGGGGATAAGTAATCACAAAAAGAACTTTGTTCTTTACCACTGGACATTAGATTGTTTAATTTGTATTTGTTGTACTTATGCAGTTTTAGATATAACTCATTATACTACTACTACTACTACTACTACTACTACTACTACTACTACTATTATTAATAATATCAAATTACTTGTAAGAATAAAAAAGTGGATAGCGAAATAAAGTAACTTCCCCCAGCTAGCTGCAATAAATCATGCCGTAATCATGTATGCATCAGTATTCTAACAAGTTAGACTTCATAAGGTGCGAGCAACATTATATGCTATTGCAGCTACATTACGAACACATACAGGTGGCAGAATTTATTGCGAGAAGTGAGGACTTCTTGCAATTTTGTCTAATGTTGTACACTATAGTTGCGCTATGTAATCAAAAGTGGCAATAGTTGTAGTGGATTGGCCTCTCATCTCTGGGGTTTCCGGTTCGATTCCCAGACTCAGCATCACATGAATTGGGTCTTTTCCTTGATTTGAGGGTTTTTCTAGATTTTCCGGTTTTTCTCCCTACGCAAAAGCTAACAAGCTAAATTCCGATTCACTGTGAGTTAGCCGTGACCAGACTTAGATCAGCCCAGAGGTTGTTTCAGGGTTTGATCTATGAGTTAGCCGTGCCCTGACTTAGATCAGCCCAAAGGTTGTTTCAGGGTTCTATCTGTGAGTTAGCCATGCCCTGACTTAGATCAGCCAAGAAGTTGTTTCAGGGTATCCATAAAAATTTGAAGGCGATAGAACTGAACGGATGACAGTGTTGGGAATATTAATTACAACTCATTTTTCTTGTTTAAAATGCTTATTACTCTGTTGTAAAGCCATCTTAAATAGTAAACACAAGCACTCCATTTGTAACTTCAGCTCTTCCAAGCTTCTTGAGAGCAAGCATAAAGGCTTTTGTTTTTCGTCCAAGACAGAATGTTTCTCTCAAAACATCTTCTTTTAGCGTCTTTCTTCTGGTTTCTGCAAGCCAAAATAAATAGGGAATGAATTATTAAGGACTTTATAGGTTGACAAAATAAAAAATTCACTAGAAAAGTAAAAGTAAAAATTTTAAATTTTCAACCCAACGGAGGCAGATTTTTTAATCTGCTTATACACTCGATGTAGCATACACTTAGCATACAGATCTTTACCGTGTAACAAAAACACATTTCATAAATTTTCAATTCATTGGTCAGGCCAGGCCTTACCTTCAGTCTGAAGCTTCAAAAATTCTTCAATACTTAGTAGGAGTTCATTAATGTCGTCAATGCTGAACTGAGTCTTGACGTAACCAGGTAGTGTCACATATTCATCTTCATTAACAGGATGGAGTGTAGGATACTCTGTCTGATTTCTGCTTGTCTGTCGGCTCCGAGCTTCTAGTAGATCTTCTAAATACATTCAAAGTACAGTGGGAGCTTAGTTAAGCGGGCACCCTTGGGACCTTGTCCTGTGTCTGTTTTATAGAGGGTGTCCATTTAACAGAAATTCGCAAAGAAGCGAGTTTAATATGCAAACCTCAGAACAAGTTTGATTCAAATACTATTTCTGTTGTATTAAAACCGAACGGTGCAAGTAAGCCATGATCATTGTAAATTCGATCATCTGGTGTCAGTTTAATAAAGGTTCTTGATAAAAGAAATTACCAAATAGGCTTGTATTTTAGTTTCCATGTCCGCCTAAAATAGGTGTCAGCTTAAAATAGGAGTCCACTTAAAATAGGTGCCCACTTAAAATAGGTGTCCGCTTAATAGAGATATCCGCTGAATAGAGGTTTGTTTTACAGTAAATATGGGAGAAATTTTTGGGACCCAAGCTTAGTGTCCAGCATCAGTGTAGCAAGCTTAAAACTGGTGGAGAGTGGTAGGGTTATAGCCCAGCTGAAAAGTCCCTCATTGCAGGACCTGGTATCTGCCTCATAAGGGGACCTTCACTTAATAGAGGTACCACTGTACCATATTTAACATCCAATCTGTATGGGCTTTATGACAGCTCCTCATTGTAAATGCTCGTACAGAATTGGCCACTCATACATTATATATTACTTATCACATTTCATTGAATACGAACCTGGTTTTAAAAGTATTGTACAAGTCAAGTCGGGAGGTGTTGGGGTTCCAAAATCGCAGGGTAAATCCACAGGGCATTGGGTAGATTGCAGGCCATATGTCTGTTGTCCTGGAACCCCCATCATTCGAATTCCAGGAGTATATAACACTGGTGGTAATGGGGAGTCATCATCTGATTGTGACGATGCCATACCTTCTCCAAGCCCAGCATGCTTTGCTGTCTTTATTAGAGGTGTAAAGGTCATGGGCTGTGGGGGTGTGTCATGGCTGGATGGCGAGACAACACCTTTGTCGTCTAAATGTTGGAATGCYGGCTTGGTTTTGATCATGGGTGTAGTTGTCTGAGGAGGAACTGGTGACTGCTCTGGGGTACTCTGGGTATCCTTGGGTGCCCTATTTTGGGTAGAAGATGGTGGAGGGGTGGCCTGGATCATTGGGGTGAAAGTGACCGGCTTTACTGGAGTTGACATGAAGTCATCTGTAGTGACAAGAAAAGGTTGTTGACATAAAAAAGTGACCAAATATGTCTTAAGCTCTTGTAATGTTTGAAGGGGGTCAAAATTCTATAATTGATACCTTCAGCTTCTTCTTGATGTTTTCCCTGACCAGCTTCGTCAGATGACTTGGCATCTGTTTCCATGGCATCAACATCMTCTTCCGATTGGCTGTTGTCATGTAAACCATCTGTATCATCCTTGTCCATAGATGTACTGCATAAAAATGATTCGATCATACTAAGTATATCTATTATCATCATCATCATCATCATTATTGTCACTATTATTATTACATTCAAATAAYTTATCATACCTTTCCTTGTTATTATTGCTAACTGCTTCATAGATGCTATCAACTGATGGTAATTGTCCTAAATTGAAAAATCAAAATTTAATATTAAAATAGGGAAGAGTCTGAGGAGGGTATATTGTGTACAATATGCATACCTTCTCCACAAAGGGAGGTTGGGATTTCCAAGGGGTGAGGAGGGTCTGAGGAGGGTATATYGTGTAGTTACAGAAAATATCCATAACTTGTCCATGGAAGGGGATTGGAAGTTCTAGGGGGTGGGAAGGGCATATTGTGTAGTCCTTAAACATATCCTTCCCTCCCCCCATTTCGAAAGGGGATTGAAATTTCTCACCAGATGACTTGTAGCCATATTTAGTCAAGTGTTCTTGCAAATCTTYTATCTGTATTTTCGTGTGTTCTGCAAGTCTCTCACACACATCCAGAAAATCACCGAACGAAAACATCTGTTTCATTTCTGTTGACTTCCACGCAACGTCCCTCTACAAAAGAATCATCAAAAGCTACTCTGTTTAGACTCTGCACAACAAAGAAACATATTTAAACAGCAGAATTCAAATAAGAAAGACRAGAAAGCAATGTGATATGAGCTTAAAGCATAAAGCTATATGTTCACCTTAAGTTGTTGCGCATCTGATAAGATTCCTCGCAGAACAAGATGTGATCTGCCTTCTTCATCGGTTGATAACTCATCTTCCTCTATTTTGGACTTTAATTCATGGCAATCTTTATCCAAAGTGGAGGTGAAAGAGCGAAGTTGTGAGAAAAACTCTTCACTTGACGCCATTTTGAAGAAACTGTTTTGAAAAATGGCGCGCGGTCAGCGGTAAGTAAAGACGACACAAATTGACTTTGTAGGGTGGGGTGAGTATTTTACAACACTTTATAAAATAAAAATATACCAGAATTCTTTATCAAAAAATTTTAAATAACATTTCAAGTAAGAATAAGTGTCATATAAAAATACTCTAAGAGTAGTTCACTAGACGAAAAAATATTGTTTTATATCATAATTTTGAATGTTCTGATTTTATTCCACCCACCCTCCCTGAGGAGAAAATGTCATCAATATGGCCGAACTTTAAGAAACTTGAGGACGCTTTTACGACGTCTTGTTAAGCTTTCATTAAGCTCTTATTTGATAACCTTTTCTTACTTAAAACTTGAAGTTACTGTTCTTAATAGTTAAGGTTAAGTTTAGTGTGTGTATTTGGAATTGGGAGTTAAGAGAAAGAGTAAAAAGTTCAAGTTTTTGTAAGACAAGAATTCAAGATGTCCGTTCTCATTGAAACCACGTTGGGGGACATTGTCATTGATCTTTTTACCGATGAAAGACCAAGAGGTAATTCAGTTGTAATCCTTTCACATTATCGTTTGGTTATTGATTGCAATATTGGAGTTATTCCTTACTTTTTCAACGCTGTAATTTGACTTTTATTTTCGAATTTTTCTTTGCAGCGTCTTTGAATTTTTTGAAACTTTGCAAGATAAAGTATTATAATTTTAGCCTTTTCCACTTCGTTCAGGTAGGTTTATGTGGTATTTTTATAATGTACTTACTGCTGCTGCTGCTGTTGTTGTTGTGCTGCTGTTACTGCTGCTACTGCTGTTGTTGTTGGTGTCTCTGCTGTTGTCACTGCTGTTATTGCTGCTGCTGCTGCTGCTGTTGTTTTGTTGTCCCTGTTTTGCTCTTTCTCCAGTAGCTTCATGCACATTCTTCTTATACTTACTTTTGTTTCCACCTTCAGAGGAACTTCACAGCTCARACAGGAGACCCAACAGGAACAGGGAAAGGAGGAGAATCTGTCTTTAAGTATGTATATACTAGTTATACAATCGAATGGCATACTTTTGAAAGTTGTGCCATGTTATTAATCTTTTGTTGAATTTTTTTCGTGGTTAGCTGTTAATATATATCAATCGACATCATTACTGTAACAAAGCTTTATTTGTCCCCTGGATGCCTCATAATGCCTTGCGATTCAATACGGTCAATATATTGTCGAGGTAGCCAAATAGCATTGTATAACTATTTTCATCCCACACGATTAAAAAATTATACACCTTTGCAATACATTTACATTTACTCTACCTTCATTGAAACCTCGTCAAAGTGAATAATCATATTCATTTTATCCCCAACCCCCCCACCCCCCCACTAACATTTTTACTTTTAGAAGTGATTTGATTTATACGATCAATGTATTTTTTATTTTATTTACTTCAGACAACTCTATGGTGAGCAAGCAAAATTTTTTGAAGCTGAAGTTAAACCAAGATTAAAGCATACAAACAAAGGAACTGTTTCCATGGTGAACAATGGTGACAATATGCATGGATCACAGGTAGAAACTTGTCTGTCTGTCTGTCTGTGTCTGTCTGTCTGATTCTGACCTTTATCCCAACGGGATTAATGAACACTTTACTTTCAACTAACTATTTCTTTTGTCTTTTGATTGTTTGTTTTTGTTTCCTTGCCTACCTTGCTCTCATTGGTTTCTTTTGTCTTATTCTATCATATATACACTCCTTTCTACCACGAAGGACTAGCGTCCTAAAAGTCAGTAAGTTTTTTCATCTTTTCACGGTGTATAATTTACCTTTTCATCATTACGTTTTCTTTACAGTTCTTTTTTACTCTTGCTGATAACCTGGATTATCTTGATGGCGTACATACAGTGTTTGGTGAAATATCCGAGGGGATGGATGTGTTGGACAAGATAAATGAAGCCATCTGTGAYGACACAAACAGACCATATCAAGATATAAGGTACCCAAAAACCYCTGGAAAAACAGTAAGAACTCTACAAACTTTGCGAACAGCACTTTGCACCCATATCTATAATCATGGTACCCAGAGCACTAACTATAACTATAGTCTGAGATTTTTGGCCTCTCCCAATCAAATTCCTTATGGTATAAGTTAAATTTTGATCAATAGTAGCCAAAACCCTAGCCTCCTTTGCAGCCRCTGTGAGGCRCTTCCAAAAACAATGAAGAAAGGAATGTTGTTCAAGTTTGACAGACGCTAGTGGGGGAATGACAGACAATGAACCTGAAGCACCTCACAGCGGCTGCAAAGGAGGCTACCAAAACCCCAKACATCTTGGAATAAGTTGGTCGCATAATATTATGAAAATGGATTTAAAAAGTACATGAATTTCAGTTTTGTTTATTACACTATCCTAACCACTTATAGGACCACCCAGGATGTCAATATTCCATTCTAATTATTTTGATATAATTTAATCTATTTTATTATTAGAATCAGTCACACAGTAATCTTGGATGACCCGTTTGATGACCCCGCTGGACTGGTTATCCCTGACCGCTCACCTGAACCAACAAAAGAACAATTAGAGGTTTGTTTCTAAATCAAGATTTAATTCTTGGTATGAGTGTTTGGGGAAATGTGTGGCATGCTCAAATTATTATTAGTATTATTATTAACAAATCATCTAATTTATACAGAGTGGTCGTATAGGTGCCGATGAGAAGATAGACGACACAGAAGGCAAAACAACTGAAGAAATAGAAGAGATGATTGCTGAGAGAGAGCAAAGAGCTGGAGCACAAATACTAGAAATGGTAATAGCGCAGCGCGCTGATTCTATAAGTAGCTTAAAGATTCGGACAAACATTGCATTCTGTTTAACCGCTACGAGGATTATACGAACCGATTTTATTATTTTTACTTAAAGTTACAATATTAACCYATGTGAACTAAGATCAACTATGATCGGCTGTGAAAATTATCAGCTGAAAGTAAACTTGTAAGTTTGTTTGTCCGAATTTCGTCTTTGTCTTCATTTTTATGACGTCACGGCTGCGCTGCGCTATTGAGATGACCTAAGAAGTAACTGATGAAGGTGACATTGGTGATGATGATGATGAGGTTTGATGATGGTGATGATGGACATGATGGTGAAAGTGAAGATGATGATGTTGATGATTATGATGATGATTATGTTAATGCTGGTCATGATGTTGATAATGATGATAGTGAAGGGGATGGTGATGATGGTAGTGTTGATGGTGATGATGATAATGATGTTGATGATGGTTATGGTGACAAAGAAAAAGAGCACTAAAATGAAGAAGGGAGGAAGAGGATGGCTATGAAAACAAGAGTAGGCAATAATACTAATCATAATCTCGTAAATGGTTGTCATGGAAATTATTCCAACTATAACACTAGTTGTTTAGTTGGTTGTCATGGCAACCAGACATCGACCTACTGCCCTCAGGTGTCCATGCATTTCAAGATCATGCTTGGACGTATTGTTCAGTAGACACTTCATTTATTGCACTGTTATATGATTATGATGATCATCATCATTGTCACTATCATTGGCACCATCATCATCATCATCAGTGGCACCATCTTCATTATCTTTATCAGCACCATGAACATCACAATATCATTAGTACCATCATCAATATTATCATCAGTGC